ATTGTTGATGGGATAAAAGCATAAGATTAGGTGAAACACCCATCCACTTTTTGTCCCTAGGGTTGTTATTGCATCCTGTGAATACAAAATTTTGATCAAATGGATTTTCTTTTACACTATAAAATGTTGCAAATAGATGGTATAGAGAAGAACACTACACTCAGGTACTCACCAAGCTCTAATACAATCTTAACATTGTGCCATAATTGCTTCTGGTGTTTTCAGAAATAAAATACTACCCATAGAGTCAAAACCTCTTTGGATACTCCTCTGCAATCAATCCCCGTCCTTCCTCAGAGGTTAACAATATCTTGAATTTGGTGTTTATCATTCCTAGGCATGTTTTTACATTATTACTGCATATGTAAATATCCATAAAAGATATTTAGTTTGGTTTGCATGTTTTACATTTTTTTAAAGATTTTATTTATTTATTTGATAGAGATCACAAGTAGGCAGAGAGGCAGGCAGACAGAGAGGAGGAAGCAGGATCCCTGCTGAGCAGAGAGTCAATGCGGGGCTCGAACCCAGGACCCTGGGATCATGACCTGAGCTGAAGGCAGAGGCTTTAACCCACTGAGCCACATATTCTTCAGCAGCTTGCTTTTCTTCTCAGTATAATTTGTTTTAAAAAAAGATTTACTTATTTATTTGAGAGAGAGAGAGAGAGAGAGAACACACTTCTGTGTGAGTGGGGCAAGGGGCAGAGGGAGAGAGAGAATCCCAAACAGACTCCCAGCTGAGTGCGGAGCCCCACATGGGGCTTGATCTCACCACCCCTGAGATCGTGACCTGAGCCGAAATCACAAGTGGGATGCTTACCCTACTGAGCCACTCAGGTGCCCCTCCCAGTATAATAGTTTATGATTTATTTATGTTGGTAGCTCTAATCTATTTCTATATGTTTAAAGTATTCTGTATGATGAATTCATCACACTTGGTTTGTCCATTCTCCTATTGATGGATATTCAGATTGCTTGTTTTCAATTATAAGCGATGCTGCCGTGCACATCCTTGTGCAAGTGATCATGGTTTTCCACTCTCAGAATGAATTCTCAGTTACTCATACAAAGTGGCAAACCCAGGTCTGGCTTATCTGTTGGCCTATGTGCTTTGTGTTATCCCTTGTTCCCGTTTCAGTCCTGTCTTCCTGAAGTTTTACTATGGAATCTGGTAGGATTAGCAACTGTCTGAAATTAGAATAGAGTATGATGGGCTAAATTTAGCTTCCCCCCAAATCTCTTCTCAGTCCCAAGACGCATCTCTCATGTTCTGATTGAGATTTTCACTGAGAATTCCTTGGCCTGGGAACCAGAAGAGACGTCTTCTTTAGAATATAACCATAGCAACAAAGAAACCAAATTACTCTTGCTAAATTACCAAGAAGCTCTAGTCAGGCATCAGTGAAATCTAATTATTTGATAAACTTCGTGGTCAGCGCCAACAGGGGACCAAATTTGTGGTGAGGACCTCCAGCCAAAATCAGTTTTCTGGCTGTGTGTTGACCAGGGAACTTCACACTTCCTGCAGTCCTCTCCAAGAGGTCTTGGGTCTCTGGTTCTTCTTCAGCCTCTCGTCATGTTAACGTTGAACGTGAGAGCCAGATGGCTAATCTGAAGTCTGCACTCAGCATCAGACTGGTGGTAATACTTTCAGCACTGTCCCTCTGCTCTGAGGGTGACTCCTGTGGCGTCCGTTTTTAGCTCTGGACTTGAGAGGCCCTTTGGCCTTCTTTTTCGGTTCAGTTTTTGTTTTCCCTGGCTTAAACATATGCTGTGTTTTCTCTTTCAATATTAAATTAACACATTTCATTATAAAAAATGTTTCAAGTACAAGAATATTAAAAAGAAAACCTCAATTACAAGCTCATTATGCAAAGGCATTAATCTTGGGGCATATTACCTTCCATTTTTTCCTGTGCATTTCTCTTAGGTTGGAGATCGTGTTACATATAGTATTTGCAGTTTCCTTGCATTTCTTAACATTATCTATCCATCCATTCTCCCAACACACCTTTTCCCTAAAATATCTGAAGGTCTTGTTTAACAGTATTCCTGATTATTTTTCCATGGTATTAGGATCTCCATATAAGTATCATTTACCAAGTCAGAAAGTGCATGCATTTTGCATTTTGAAATATATTGACAAAGTAGTTTCCAGAGGCATTTTACCAATTTCCACTCCAGACAGCAGTTTTTGAGAGTCTGCTTTTCCCATTCCTTTATTTATTTTCAGCTCCATTTCTAGTCAGTTTTTTTATTCTGTTTTTATTGCCGACTAGTCTGCTTTTTCATTGAGCCACTGATCTGGAACTCCAGTGTATTCCAACCTACAACTTGTCTAAAATTTAACTTCTCTTGACTCTCTAGAATCTTGTCTTCTAGGGATGAGCTAATTGACTATAGTTTATTGTTTTTAGGGAAGCAAGGCTGTGAGATGAGCTTGACGTTCAGATAAGCAACATTAACTCTCAGGGCATCTGGTGATGCTTCTCAGAGAGTAAGAAGGAAAGCCTGGGATTAAGGATTTTGTGTTTCAAACATCCTGTGTCAGTGCACATGAACCTCTATAGAAACTGAAAGTCACACGTGGCCTATTTGTTTCAGGGTCCTCAGAGGAGTTCTCTCTCCCCCTCCCCTGATGGCTTCATTTGCATAACCAAGCAGCTTTGGAGTGAATTAGGTCAATGTCTTGTTTCTAGCTTCTTGTTGAATACTGCCTCACTGAAAATTCTAGCTCTTCCATATTCCCAGGAGTTAGCAATTGATCTCAGCATAGCATCTTTGGGCAAACAGCAGCAGGGATCTGGTGACTCTTTGGAGAATATCTGAACTGGTTTTCAGAAGGCATGTCTTCCCCTTACACCTAAGTCACTTCCTGGTATGGGTTGAGTCCACTGAAAGGAAAGTCTCTGTAGGAGATTTGTTCAAATGGAAATAGTATATCATGGTGATGATAATTTAAAATTGCACCGAGACCCTTGAAGTGGATGGAAAATTGCACTGTTTCTCACCATAAAGAGTTCACAAAAGGCTCCAGACAAACACATCATTGGCCATAAGCAACAGAATTTGGGCTTTAACACAAACAGTTTAAACAGTTTGGCTATAAAGGGGGTCAGAATAGAGCAAACAGGGTTAGCCTGAAGGGATAGTGTTTTGGTTGAATGCTTTAGGTTCCATGAGTATTTGCATTTTGTGGCTTATTAGGAGGATGGCATTGTTTTATCAAATAACTGAGGCTCCCAAGAAGCTATAGCACCCTGGTTTCAGGGGCTTGGCATGCTAAAGGAGGGAAGGAGCAGAGCTAGAACACAGCTAACAGTATGGAGGACAGTCCCTCAGCTTTATAGACCCCTACCTCTGGGCTTTGCTGCTGTCCTGCGTCTGGAAACCCACAACATGCCATAGAGATTTGGAGCTTGGAGAACTGGGTGATCAGGAAACTGGGCCAGGACTGGGGCATCTGGGTGGCTCAGTCAGTTAAGTGTCTGCCTTTGGCTCAGGTCATGGTGCCAGGGTCCTGGGATCGAGCCCTGCATTGAGCCCCACATCAGGCTCCCTGCTCAGCTGTGAGCCTGCTTCTCCCTCTCCAACTCCCCCTACTTGTGCTCTCTCTCTCTGTGGCAAATAAATAAATAAATAAAATATTTTTTAAAAAGGAAATTGGGGATGCCGGGGTGGCTCAGTCGGTTGGGTGGCTGCCTTTGGCTCAGGTGATGATCCCAGTGTCCTGGGATCAAGTCCCACATCGGTCTCCTTGCTCTGCGGGGAGCCTGCTTCCCCCCAACCCTCTCTCTGCCTGCCTCTCTGCCTGCCTGTACTCTATCTCTCTGACAAATAAATAAATAAAATCTTTTAAAAAATAAAAATAAAATAAAAAAGGAAATTGGACCAGGATTCCATTTGGAGGTCTAATAGCTCATCCAAGGATGTCTTGATCAGGGCCACCAACCACTTTTATTCTAAATGCCACACCATCTGCCCTAGGCAGAGCCGCTCAGGCAGTATAAAAATCAGAGCAAACATGGAGATATTAGCACTTACAATTGCCAGGCTTTAACCGTTTTATATATATTAACAGAGTTACTATTTACGACAATCCTATGGGGAAGGTACTAGAAAGGGAAAGGAAAGGGCAGGAATAATCCAATGCAATTCAACAACTGTTCATTAAGCTCTGAACCTATTCCCGGAAATGCGGTAATGAACGAGATAAAAGGGGGGTGTATAAGAAGAGGGAATACAGGTAGAGAGAGGAGGGGGAGGAAAAGGAGGAAGGGTACAGAGAGGGGGAAACGGAGAGGAGGAGAGAAGAGAAAGAAAGAGGAGAAAGATGAAGACAAAAGAAAGCCGTGCACATGGCAGGCAGTGCTAATAGGAAAAACTGGCCCCATGACCTCAGGGGTCAGCCCCACTGTCTGGGCTGAGGCTGAGGCTGTTTTCTTCTGGCCCAGTCTGTGACCCACATCACCACGAGGCTGGCACACACATTCCTTCCAATAAGCCAGCTCTGCTCCTGGCAACATCGGCCCGAAGCAGCCCATGGCAGGCAACTTCCCCCCAGGGTTAGCCTGGGCTTTTCCCCAGTTTACAAAGGCACGTGAGCTTTTACTGTTCTCTCAATGTGCCTCTTAGATTTTCTTCTCCTAAGGGCCTCTTGACACAAATCTACCTTTTGCATCTTCAGGCAGTATTGACCAAATGGCATATTTGTATCCTCCTGCCATCGCCAAGATTCCTCTTCTGCCAAGGTTAATAAGGGTGCCCACTTCCAACAGTTGCTACCTGTTCCAGTGGTCCCCTCATGTCCCTCTTTGCTCTTCCTCTTCTTCCCCCCACAACCTGACTCAGAAGGAAGGCTTCAGTCCCTTCTGATCATCGGGAAGGACTGCCAGGGCCTTGCACTGATGACATTGCTACCCTCTGTCAGCCTCCTTTTCGGGCAAGACTATATGGCACGAGCCATGCTTTTTCTCCTGCCTTGGGGGGGGGGTCCCCATGAAAAGGATTTGCGGCGGCTGCCCAGCCCCTGCCATACCCCAGACCCACCTCAGTCCTGACTTAATGCAGGTAGCTTCCCAGATGCATTGAGATGCCAGGACTTTGAAGGTGTGATTCGATCTCAGAAGACACTGGCCCTGGAGACATATTCTTACAGTCCAGAGAGGAAGGACAGTCTGAGCAAACCCCACCCTTTCACAGCCACTCAGTTCCCTTTTTTTGTTTCCTGACTTAAACCAGTCTTTTTTTTTTTTCTTCTTCTCAGCAGCATGGTATCTGGTTCCCTGCTGCTGTCCTTATCCCCCCACCCAACCCCCAACTGTCCCCGCCCTTCATTTGCTTGGGACCTCTGACACTCCTGTCTTGAATGTGCTCTTGAAAGTCCTCTGCTCAGCATTACTGGGGCCACTGAGACTCTAGATGGGGCTGGGTTGGCAAACAGGTCACCATGCCGACCCCCCCAAAGTAAAGGGACCTTGTACCCTAAAGATCTGTTGGAATAATCAGCAGAGAGCAGAGACTTAGAGGAAGGACAAGAAATGCAGACCTGCAAAGACAAAACAAAGGGTCTAATGAGGGAGAGTGTCTTTAGAGCCTCCTGTCCTTGAAGACAGAGGACACTGGGGGGTCACACCGTTAATCTTGATAAGGAAAGATGGAGAGTGCTCACAGAAGGGACCCCAAAGTGCAGAACCCGAGAGAGAGAGGTAGAGACAAGACTTCCCCCTGCTGAGTCATTTTCTAAGAAAGCATTTTTTTCCCCTACAGATAAAAATGTCTGAATGTAAGCCCACACAAAGACTTGTGCCCTTCCCCATTTTCTGTGGATGTTGATTTTCTCCCTTTCAAATTCGGCCTCAGGGATTAACTCTTCATGTACACCTTTCTCTTTAACTCTGTAAACCCATAAACCCAAGTAAACACGTCCCTCAAAGCCCGAATGTGTCCTCAGCTACCTCCTAGCCTATGTCTAGCCACAGTCATCTCTCGGAGCCTTCTCCTAGGAAATGCAGCTGGTCGTGGCTGCTGACCAGGATGGCAGTGTGGCCCCGGCTGACTGGTCTGCAAGCCTACCTTGACACAGCGGGCATGGCCATGTTCTCGCCCCCAGGTGCTGGATCTTAACATAGGAGCAGATCACAGATCTCACTAGAAGTCTGTCTGTCAGAGTTTTTAAGACAACAAGGTTTTTTTTTTTTTTTTAAAGCATTTTGTAGGAATGGTAGAGTAGGTAATCCTCACATCTGCACAAGATAGATGGGCAATAAGTCTTGCACGATCTCACTATATCATTGACAACATGCATCGTCTTACTAGCCACCTCTGAACAGCTGCTCTAGTCTCCTGTCTGAGAGTCGCCATCACAGACAATTTCCTTCCCTCCCCTTTTCTTCAGTCAGATGCTCCCTGTTGTCACCTGGCCCATCTCTTCACAAGATCCATCTTGGGGTGGAGATTGGAAATTGATAGGCATACAGTGGAGGATCTGGACAAGGGAGAGTGGGACAGGGGATAGGGTAAGATAGACCTAGGCAATTTTCTTAACTGACTGCCCACGAGCCCTTCCTTAACACACTTGTCTAGATGATTGAAGGGCTGCTCCCAAATAGTGCAAATAAATGGCCTAGTGTCACCTCAAAAGAGTCCCAAGGTAATATAAGGTTCTGGTTTTGGTAGTATCCTGTTTAACATTTTTCCTAATGAGCTTTGAGGAAGATACAGAAAGTAGCCTAGCTAATTTGTGAATGTTACAACGCTGTTGGGGGCAAGACTGGATGACGGAACCAGAGCAATTGGTTTGTAAAAAGATCCTGATCACCTGGTATGAAGAGCAAGTGTATTTTACCAGAGCTAAGGGTCATGTCCTGTAATGGGGCACCAAACTGAACTTCAAAATTCTCCAGGTGAAGGTGGAATAGCAGTAGGATTTGTGCAAATGGTTCAGAGGTTTTTGCTGATAGTAATGAAGAGAAATGTCATGTCAGTAACATGGCTGCCAGAAAATCCAAGGTGAAAATAGGCTTCCTGTAAAATATCTAGATAGAGGAAAGTAAATAGGCCACCTACTCTGCAAGGTCAGGCCATATCTAGACTCCTGTGTTCAGTTCTGAGCGCCTCACGTTAGGGAAAATTAATGAGCAGGAGCATGTCCAAAACACAGACCAGGATTAGTGAAGGGAATCAAAGCCAAAGCCACACCATACAAGGTGTGACACGAAGATCTAAGGTTGACTAAGAGGGGTCATGTTCACTGTCTTCATAATTCCATGTTACTAACATCAAAAACCTCTAGAAACCCCTCAAAGTCCAGTGAGACTGCTTAAGAGCCCAAAGAGAAGAATATGCTGAAACTATGGGCTGGCTGTCTGGCAAAGAAACTTTTAGGAAGTGTAGTAGCAGGCAGGGGTACTGTTTTCATTATCTCCTTCCCAGAGACCACCCAACAAAAAGGGGATAATCTGAGAGTCAGCTCTGGACCCCTGGGTATTCCTGGAGAATTACGTAAGCAGGAGACCCCAGGCTTTCATAGTTCCTTAGCCCCTAATCACTGGTACCCCTTCCTGAGTCCCCGCTCAGTTCTTCATCAACCTCTACCCTGCTTGCACTGTGTGATGGCATGGTTAGGTGCAAGGCTGTGGTGCTAGAAACTACCTGGGATGAAAATCCAGCTCCATGAAATAACCACCTGTGTTGTGCCTCAGTTTCCTCACCTGTTAAATATTAATAATGGTACACAGTGCATGGGGTGGTTTGGATTACAAGAGGTAGTAGATGAGGTGTTTAGGAAAATGCCTGGTATATATTAAGTGCTCAGTAATTGTTAACTATTATAATTTCCAGGCCACAACAGCCATACTGTATAATGGTAAAGAAACCCAGGCTTTGGAATCAGATCACCTGTGTTTGTGTCCTGGTTCCACTAAATACTATCTACAGTTGGCAAAATGTTGATGATCCTATGGCCTCAATTTTCTCATCTGTAAAATGGGTATGATAGTACCACCTACCTCCTGGAATTACTGTGAGAATTTTATGAGACAATCCATTTTAAATACTCAGTACCCTGCAGTCTTTCTCTGCTAGACTCTTGAAACCTAGCACATGACTTCTGCCAGGTATGCAGGGAAAGGAAGAGCTGCTCGATATTTTTTTTTTTAATCTCTTGGCCTGTTGATTGTTACTGTGCGAGCTGAACAATTTCATTGTCACTTTTCAGGGCAGCCAACTTGTTCCTTCAATAAAAGGGGGCTGCTTGAATGCCGATCCTTCATACTGTTTTACAAAGTACTTTGTAATTATAAATTTATGAGACTGATTATTTTATTATCGTGTCCCTGCCCTAGAACAGTGCCCAACACAGAATAGGAATTCAATTAACATTTGTTGGATGGACCAAACAGCCATGTGATAAATGAATTAGAGTAGAGCACTGGCTCCCTCCAAGCCTTCAGTTAATCAGTAGTTCCCTGTCAAAGATATTCCCAGCGTCCTTGATATGAAACAGTAATGGAACCTGGGTGTGTAGGGCTCCTCCCTTTGATCCTAGTCCTTGCTTCCTTCGGAGATTGGGACAGGGACGCCCGAGGGTCTAGAACGAGCACTGTTTCCCTCGTTTAACGCTGCTACCTAGCGGCGTCCGCCAGAAGTGATGAAGTGAGGAAAAACTGCAAAGCTTGGGGCACCCGACCCAAGTCAAAGATAGGATCGGCCTCAGGCCGAGCCCTTTCTTAAGCTCCTACCCACGGCTCCAAAGCGAGTCGTCTCAGCCGCCAGAGGGCGGTTCTCACAGAGCCTTAGACTCTATGGTCCTTCTCGCCACTCCCATGAGCAAGAGCGACCAGAAACCTCCTATATACTTCCGTTTCCGGGCAGGTCTCTTTCTTTCCGTGTCGATTGCGCTCTCGCAAGCATGGTAGGACTTTGGGAGCGGGCCCGGTAACATCCAGCTTAATCTTTTCACCCTCTTTGACGGAGGCCGTCCCAGGCTGGCTTTAGGTCCATTCGCGGACTCGTTGTACCAAAGAAACCCAGCGCTGCTGGGATCGGCCCCGAAGGCACTGGGCTTCGGGGTCAGGAAATGAAGTGATGGGATCAAAGAGGTAGACTTAGCCGGGGTTGGAGGGAACATGCACGCTCTCTACTTCGGGGCCCAGCGGAGGCCGCTGGACCTGAAGCACATGGCGGCTGTACCACCTTCTAGTCAAGTGGTGTGCGCTAGCGAGGACTGAGAGTCGAGCCTTCGGGGGATGTCTTAGGTTCGGCTGGGTCGTTAAGGGCGTTGTGCGATGGGTATCTGATAACGCTGCTAGTTCTGAACGGTTTCTTTACTAGGTGAACGTTCCTAAAACACGCCGGACTTTCTGCAAGAAGTGTGGAAAGCACCAACCCCACAAAGTGACACAGTACAAGAAAGGAAAAGATTCCCTTTATGCCCAGGGTAAGACGGTTTGTATGTAATTTGGTTTTAATCAGGAACTAGTGTAATACATACGCTGTCCCGTGCCCCGTCCCTCACTCCCACTTGGCTGTTGTTTTTCTGCTGGAAAACCCAAGATAAAACGTGTAAGAAGACTCGTGTGGCAGTTGTGATTATCTTTGGTATGCCATAACAAATAACCTCATTCTTCCAGGAAAGCGGCGTTATGACAGGAAGCAGAGTGGCTATGGTGGGCAGACGAAGCCTATTTTCCGGAAAAAGGTTAGTAGTAATTACCATTTGACATGCTTCTGTAGTAAAGACTTTGCATTTTTCTCTAGCCTAAATACAAGAGGTAGTAGAGATAGAGGTAGTAGAGTACAGGTCCTCTACACACTGTAGAGTACAGGTGTGTGTTTTCATAGTTTCAGCGAAGTTCCCTACGCTACCTGCAGTGACCCATCTGGGAGGTAGTGTAGGTATAAGCGCAACCCCGGTCTGACTCTAGTCAGACTCTAATTTACAGTCTTGCAATATCTTGGTGTTTTATTATTTTTGTCCTAACCTTTTTGAAGAGGCAAAATTAAGTAAAGAGGAATGTTCTCTGATTTCCTAAGGACTGAAGTTTCAGTACACCGGTGAATCCTTTCTTCTTTACCTGTCATACCCTAGTGAATCTTCAGCCCTTGCTTGCAGTGAGAATTGCTCTCTCACTTTGCTTCTCAGTTCAGAAGCCTGCATACTGCAACCAGTCTCATGAGGTTTTTAAAGTTCCTTAAAATCCTCATGTAAGCCTTCCACTGCACTTCTGAATTCTCTTGTCATTCTCATTCAGGCCAAATGAGTTTCTGTTCTGCCCTAGGTGATCTGGTGCCCCTTACAGTACACAGTGCCTGGAACAGCATTCCTGTGAACACAGCATTTCTTTTGGTGCTTTGCTTATTCAACCTCCTGCCAGAAAGTACTAAGGAATAACAGTTGTGTTCATTTAGGTGCAATAAATGGTTTGAGCTCAAGGTGGTAAAGACTGCCTTTTCACATTCGGCTAACTTGTTTAGAAGGTGGGAAGATTCTGCCTAGGCTTTGGTTTTTTGGAGAACTGTGAATAGGCAGAAGTAGAATTCTGATTATAGGAGTAGTCTTAAAAAGTTGATTCCTGTACCTTGAGTTAAATAGATACAGTTGAATACACATAAATTGTAGACATAATTTTAGGTAGTCTCCAGAGAATTGATAAATCTGAAGTAACAATTATTAAATTCTGTTTAGTGAGAAAGTTGTGTTCAGTTCATAGTTTCAGGGATTTGGTTGACCCATTTTTGTTTGTGGGGAGTACAAGTATGTAGAGCTGTTGAAAGGCCACAAGTTCAAGGTGGTGTGATAAATGACCATTTGGTAAGAAGCTCTTCGGGGTGTTTGATGGGAGTAGAGAATTTGATGGCAATTAAATGATCTACCTTTGCTATTAAATTTCCTCTTAAATGCACTGATTTTCACGTTTCTGTTTTCTCCCTATAGCTAAAGACAAATTGCTAAAACTCTGTCATTTGCAAAGCTTCCCTTTAAGTACTTAACCCAACAGTCCTCCATTTTGAAGAAAGATTTTCTGCAGTGATTTATGAAAGGATTGACTTCATTTTTTCCAGGCTAAAACTACAAAGAAGATTGTGCTGAGGCTTGAATGTGTTGAGCCCAATTGCAGATCTAAGAGAATGCTGGCTATTAAGAGATGCAAACATTTTGAACTGGGAGGAGATAAGAAGAGAAAGGTATATAATTGCAGATGGAAGGTGCAATCTTTTCTGTTGGGTGAGATGAACATTTCTCTCCACTTAACTGATGGTGCAATCAGGAATGGGGCAATCCTCTTAAAAATAACTAGATCCATAGCTGAAGGTATGAGGTTTTTGGTGTTGGTTTTGGCATGAGTAGTAGAGGGATAATGAAGAGACTTAATTAAAAGGAGGTGATCCCTTTAGGGGGATAATTGTGTACTTGAGAGAGTAGAGAGGTTCTTTGCAAAATAAAAAAAAAAAAACCTCTTTTTTTTTTCTGTTCCATTACAGGGCCAGGTGATCCAGTTCTAAGCTTCATATTGTTATGTTATGAAGACAATAAAATCTTGAGGTTATGTTCACTTCATTTGGTTGCAGTTGGTCTTTTAAGATGGAAATAAAGTACTGGCATCAATAAAATTCCTCTTGTGGGGCAATTTATGCTTGATTCTTCTGGGTACTTTATTTGGGATTGAATTTGAACTGGTTGAACTCATACAAACGTGGTGATCTTCCAGTTTGGCACTTCAGTTACATGAGGTTTCATGGGATTCCTTTTGCTGTTAAACAAGGGTTATTAGTTATCATGGGATGTAAGTAGAGTCCCATGGTAACTATCAATTATACCCATAGTGAATGTAAAGTTTACCTAGAGCGAAATAATTTCTCTCCTATACCCTTGCTACTTCAGTCCTTCAGTGAGGAATTTAGGCTGTTTTTATGTACAGCATACTGTACAGAGCACAATATATATATATATTCTATGTTCTCAGACTTAACTCTAACATTGTTGAAACCTGTTGACGTACCCCCTCAGATTTCAAAGTAGACATAAATTCTCATGTTGAAATAACAGCAGAGGATAAAATTTCTAGTGAATTAAGCTGCCCGGCAGAATTTAACAGGGATATATGCTGATTTTTAAAGATGTCTAATCATTGCAAATTTTACATCCTTTTTCTCTTGGTATACTGTTGTATACTTGATTCTTTTTTTTTTTATAAGAAGAATTTTTTTAAAAAATTTTATTTGACAGAGCACGAGTAGGCAGAGAAGCAGGCAGAGGGGGAAGCAGGCTCCCTGCTGAGCATAGAGCCCGATGTGGGGCTTGATCCCAGGACCCTGAGTTCATGACCTGAGCCAAAGGCAGAGGCTTATTAACCCACTGAGCCACCCCAGGCACCCCTGTATACTTTTTTTTTTTTTTCATTTTTTTAGTTTATTATTTTTGTATACTTGATTCTTAGCTGATGTTCAGCTTTTCATACTTGTGCAGCAAAACTGGAGGCAAAGCATAGAAGCTATACCTTTTGATGACCAAGTACATCTCAGTGGGATGGAGCAGTTCCAAATTGCCTTGTTTCTGTGGGTGATTAAGTCTGGGTTTGCCAGTTTTAGCAAATGAGGATTACTCCAATTTTATTTACAATAAATGGAAATCACCTGACAGGCAAAGGAATTGTTAACAACATGCACTTTGTATTTGGAGGGCCTTTGTCCCTTGCTAATTTTGTGCTGTTGCACATTCAGATGGTGGAGCTGCTGCCTTTGGTTCTGTGGGAGAAGGCTGTGAAAGGAGAGGTGATGAGCAGGCTTGAAACTGACTACAGGTTGGTCCTCAGGCAAATGGTAGGGAAAGGAGAAAATTCTAATGTATGGAAATGCTTTAAAATGATCCATTCCCTGTGGCACCTGGGTGGTTCAGTCACTTAAGTGTCTGACTTGATTTTGGCATAGGTCATGATTTCTGGGTTATGAGATCGAATCCCACATCAGGCTGGGTGCAGGGCCTGCTTGGCATCCCCTTTCCTTCTGCATCCCCTCTTAACAAAAAGGATCCATTCCCACATACCCCAGTCTGAAGGTCACTCACTGCCTCATCACATCCTGGAGAGGAGGCAACTTAAAGGGGAGCTGGTGTTCTGGCCAGAGATCACAATGGAGCCCTACTGCTTGTGAAAGTAAGCCACCTGCATTTGTTGGCTCTAGATTGCAAAAAACCTTTGGATTTAGAAATCTGTGTGGTGGAATGTTTCTTGAGATGGTTCCATAAAGATTCAGTAATGTGGTCTCTTGGGTTGCCTCTGTAGGTTATTCCTGCTGGGGTATTTTTTTGCCCTTCAATTAAGGTAGCTTTGTTTTTGTCTTCCCTTTGGGCTAAGATTATACTTAAAGAGTGCCATCCAAGCACCTCAGTAGGTAGTAGTTTAAGGGTTAAAAGTCTGGGCTGAAATCTTGCCTATAGTTCTGTAGTGGATAAGTACCTACCTCTGTTGGTGAGGATTCAAATGGCTCGATAGTTCATATATCTAGAACAGTGCCTGGCACATACTATAGTGCCCAATAAATTACAGCTATTATTTAGCAATTTGTTTCAAAAGCCTTTCCCCAAAATGTTTAGAGATACCTTTGCAAGTTTTTCTTGTGGTCCACTGTGGAAAATTTTATTGAAGGAAAGAAGGACAGCTAAAGTGGGAATGGAAGGAAAGGGAGACACCAGTGGGGGAGTCAGTTTGGCAACAAAACACACATTTTTTTCCTTTTGAAGTAGGGGCTTAAACTCATGACCCTGAGATAAAGACCTGAGCTGAGACAGAGTCAGACACTTAATCAATGAGCCATAGGAGCCACAACAAAATACATTTTAAAGAAGGTTTTTTAGTGTAGTCTAGGTTGCTGCCAGCTGAAGTAAGACGGTGCCTGTGGGATTTATCTTGGTCTTTAAATCTGAAGTCCACTGATAAAACCCAAGCTCTCTCTTCTCAGGCAGGAGCTGTGTGATCATGCAGTCAGGAATACAGGCCAGCCCCTGACCCAGGGAAGCAATAGAAATGGTATGAAAACGAGGTCCACCAATCTCCTGCAGGTTTACCATAGCCACAGCCCACGCTAAGTCTGAGAGGGGGCGTTCCCACACTTCAATGTTGTCTTCCTGAAAAGTAAGCCAAGAAAATAGGTGTGAGAGCCTGGTAACAGGAAGAAGCTTCCTTTTTGGTAGTGGCATTCAGTATTATTGTCAGAAATACTGAGCACTTCTGGGAAAAATTAAAATCCTACAGCATGCTTTGGAAATAAGGTAATGGTCAGCAAAAAAAGGAGCCTCATTACTGATTATAACATGAAGATTAAAAGTAAATATTCTCAAAAGATGAGTGCACATCCTCTTATTTAACAGATTTAGGCCCAGGACAATGGTGGTACTTGGGCATAAAGCCATTCCATCTTAAAACGCACAAACATTTGGATGAACTGTAAACTAGAAGGCAAGAGTATGTTCCTGGTCAATTCCTATTTTCTCCCATAGAACATTATTTACTGTACCTTTCTAAGCCGGTACCCCTGCTTGCCCAAGGGGTCTTGGTTGATGGCTATTACATCCTTATTCTGAAGGAGGGCTTTGGCTTGAGGGCTGATGTGTCGGAGGTCATTGGACATGAGTAATGGAGCGGCCATGATAGCCCACAGGGCCATCTGAGTTACCTGCTGATCCCAGCTGAGGCCAAAGTTACCAATCACTAACTGGGACAAAGAAGAGCAAGAATTTAAATTTTAAAAAAATGAAACATTTTCAAAGTTACCTAGACATAAGCCACTTTCTATGGCACCCTGCTCTGAGTACTCTCAGGTAAGGCCTGCTTCCAGGAATTTTCCCTTCTGATTTACCTTGAAAAATCAAATAGGAAACAGGTCCACTGCATGGGCTCGAACAAGGAGAGCTCAGGTTCTTACCATATCTGGGTCATTCCAACCCCCTGGTCCTGCGACATCAACAATGCTCTTCTGGTTAGAAGATGTCCAGGCCAAGATACTCTTTACACTTTGCCAAGAATCATAAACATCCTCAAAATTTCTCCAGTGATTGCAGTACTGTCGGATTTCTGTGTAATTGGGCTGTGAAAACAGACATAACTCTTTTATTTACTTTCTACTACCATTCTTGCAACATGAAAACAGTCAAGTTTAAAGGACGCACCTATAGCCTCTTTAGTGTACAGATTAAAGGTATCCTATGAGAAGAGCTATCCCTATTATAATGGAATTTCACTGTAAGAAGTCTACTTCAGAAGTAGGCCATATAACTTAAAATCTCTCCTTTAAATGGCTTTAACACTGTTTATGCTGGAAATTTGCCAAATGGTAACTAAGTATCGGGATTATGAAGATTTTAACTTTTTTCACAACTTACTGGATTTTCACACTTTCTTAAAATGGACATGTATCACTTCTGTAATCAAATAATTAAAATGATCTGTATAAGTAAAAATAAAGGCTGCAGAATTACATAGGACAAATAAGCATAGGATAAGGCCATCTGAATCCGAGGTACATAATTTATTAATGGAACAAATACAAGTTTGTAGATAGGGAGAGAGAATATCAGGTTTCTGATGCTGAGAAAGGGGAGAGTATTTTGCGGAGATTAGAAGCAAAGAACAGGGATTCATTCTATAAGTAATTATTAAACACTTACCATAAGCTAGGGATACAGTGATAAAGTCAGACAAGGTCCCTGCCCTCCTGGAGCTTACATTCTAGTGGGGGAGACAGACAATAAGCCAGTAAACAAATAATTCCATACAGTGCTAAGTTCTTATAGGAAATTCAGCTGATTAATACAATAAAGAATAAATGGATAGAGGGCTATTTTAGAGTACAGAAGAGCTGCTTGAATATGTAGCATTTGTTTTGAGACTTAAACGTTAAAAGGAAACAGCCATTTAAAAATCTTGGATGAAGAATGTACCAGGCAGAAAACAAAACGCCAAGTGTAAAGTTCCTGGGGCAGCAGCAGGCTTGTGTGTTTGAGGGAAAGAAAGAAAACCCAGTGCCGTCATGGAAAGAGGGAGGGGAGGCTGGAGGCAGGCCAGGACCACATCAGTGGAGTGTGATTTTATTCCAAATGCAATGGGAAGCCAGTTAAGGCTTTTTTCAGCAGGGGAGTGAGGATTTAACAAGATCACTGTGGTGCTGCTTGGAAAATTGATGGCAGGATGGTGGAGATGGACTAGGCTGAGCGGAGATGATAGTGGCTGGAAGTCCAGGGTGGATGCAACAGAGATGGAAAGAAATGAGCTAATTCGGGATGTGTTTTGTAGATAGCACTGATAGGATTGCTGGCGAATAGGCTGTGAACTGCAGGACAAAGGGAAGAATAAAAAATGACTGATTTCCGAGATTAGAATTCAATTACAGCAGGAGAGAGGGTGAGAAGTGGCTGGATCCTGAGAAAGATTGTAGGATGAGCCTGTTAAATAAGACTGGACTTTGAAAGAGACCCTTCAGTCTCCTTTGTTCTCAAGTTCTGAAAATCTATCGGCAAGGCTCTGTTGGACTGTGTGCTCACTAGCTCACCTTACGAAAAGGCCACATATAAAGGGGCCACTCACAGGAATACACAATGCTTCTGCCAGTCCTGTTCAGGGCCAAGGACATATGCTTATAACCTGT